ATTGTTGCATGAGGCAGACGGAGGGGGTGCGTGCTGTTCGCCTTCGGGTCTCTGGTGAAGTGTACAAGCTCATATTTTGCCGGGGAGAATTGAGAACCGTGTTTCGTTGCCCAGTCCTGGGCTTTCCGGTGGATGGCTTTGAGGGTTTTGCAGTTCCGTGGCGCTGATGGGCCAACTGCCAGGATAGAAACGTCGTCAATATATCCCACCGCTTCTGTCTCCGGCGTCATGCATGCCTCAATCAGGTCCGCGTTATAGAACAGGTAGAGGATCGGCGAGAAGGGTGATCCTTGCGCAATTCCCGTTTTGATTGGTGTTACGGGTGCAGTGTATTCTTGCATCTTCAGAGTCGCGGACCGGTCGCTGAGAAAGGATGCTACCCATCGTACAATCTTCTCACTTACTCGACGCTTGCGAAGGTTGTGTAGTAATCGTTCATGGGACACATTATCATAGGCTCCTGAAACGTCAAGCAGCAGCAAGGAGGCTACTTTGCCCTCGGACCATGCCTGGTGTATTCGTTGAAGAAGGAAGTGTATGGCGTGTTCTGTCGATGCGAGTTTCCGACCTCCAGTATGTCTGCTGGGTAATAAATGGTGAACATCAGCAAGGTAGGCAAGACGGTTGGCCATGATGGCTTCCATCACTTTACCCAATGTATTGAGCAGGGCAATCGGTCTGTACGATTTAGGTTGTGCGTAGTCGTCTTTGCCCTGTTTGCGGAGGACTACGGTAACCGCTTCCTTGAAGTGTTGGGGGCAGTAGCCCAGTTGGAGGCAGGCGTTGAACAGTTTGTGGAGGCTGGGGAGAAGGATATCGAGTGTCTGGTGCAGGACGCCATTGATGATACCGTCGGCGCCAGGGGCTTTGTTTGGGGCGGCCCTGCGCATTGCCTTCTCAATCTCCGGCAAAGTGATGTCGGGGCATTCAATTGACGGAGGGTACTGGTATCCACTGATATCCGAGAGGTCGGCCTGACAAGGAGGGGGAAAGAAGGCCTGGCGCAGCAATTCTGCCTTTTCTTCTGGGCGATGAACAAGTGTTCCATCGGGTTTGGCGAGTGCTGGGGTGCAGGCGGGCGATATATCTTGTCTATTCTTGGCCCACTTCACTAGTTTCCATAATCCATTTTTCGCTGACGATGCTTCTTCTACTCTTTGGCGGTGACTGTTACGTAGCAATTTCTGAATATGCCGACCTTTCTTATTTCGTGCTTGTCGATACGCTTCGTAGTCGTCGTCTTGCCTTGTTTGTTGCCACCGTCGGCGCAACTGCTGGACTTCCGTACAGATATCTTTGCATTCTTGATCAAATCCCGCTATTGACCGGGAACATGGGTTGGACCAGGGAGTAGATGCATCAATACCCGCATTGAGAGCCTTGACGATGGAGGACACGAGTGCATCAATGTCGCCTTCATTCTTAGGTTCCATTCCGTCGTAGTTTTGATGAAGGCGATCCTTTACAATTTGTCGCAGTATTGGTATTTTCGTCTTGGACCATAGTCGTTTCCTTGTCACAGTTGCTGCTTTCCACTCCCAGTCGAGGGCCGTATCAATCGGGAGGTGGTCAGAGTCGCAGTCTAATCCTCCATCAATTTTGCAGTGAGTTACGTGTCTTGTAAGATCCTCGGTGGCGAAGGTGAGGTCGATTGTCGATTCTCCATCTTTCCACCTGTGGGTGGGAGTACCCGGCTCCGTCAGCAGTTCTAGCTGAAAGTCTTCAATGATTGTTATCAGACGCTGGGCGCTGGGTCACCCACAGTCCACTGTTGCTCCTAGTTGTGTCTGTACCTGATTTGGGACTACCAGCAAATTTTCAAAACCACTCAACGGCCCCCCACCCACCAAAATACTGATTACTGGCAGACCAGCAAATTTGGTAGTTCAAATTGTCCTCCTATTTAAGCCCGATGGTTCCGAAGATCTTTAAGCAAGCATATCAGCACTTTCAGGTGGAGGTCAAACCTAGTTTGTCCTCAGCCACTCTATAGCTCCACGCCAGAACAAGACGCTGCTTTTCCAACATGGCATATCCATTAACTACATCCAAGGCTTCAAATTGTTCCGCCAAGCAATTCGCGATTACTAGAAATTTCAGTCCTGACTACAGCATAGTCTGTAGGGATGGAGAACAATTTCATGCGATTCTGGGGTTGCACAGGGAAGAGGGGCATACAAACCCGTGTCTTTCCCATCACCAAGGGCTGTACAAAACGGCTCCAGTTTCAGCCATGATGCCATGCGACGCTCGCACAGTTCACATTGGCGTAGCTGAGCCTCAGTCTCGCTCTGTCACGTGGAACGACATGGATAGTGTGTCGGGTTCTAAGTGGATGATGACTATCTCTACGAGAGACAAGTATACCTCAAAGAACCTGACATGGAAACACACACGATCATCAGTGGAAAATGACATGAAAGTATCTCCAATTAGTAGGAGAAACGTTAGTCTTCAGGACCTTCGCAAAGATTACAAGCCCCTTGCAGTATATACCAGCAACGGAGGCCCCAAAACTTCTGGCACGTTGCAAATGAATGAGAACCATGGGGAGGAATTTGATATCATGGTGCTGATGACTTGTTTGGCTATCTCTGAGGCAAAAAGAGGGCGGCTTTACTGTATGTATCTTAGGTTTTTATAATGGATTTTTTTTAGAATGGACTGATGTTCTTTACCGCAAGCTCTGAAAGTTCTTGAAAGGTTGTGCTAGAGATTCACTAAACGCGCTCAAAAGTAGCCAACTCGTGTTGTTCCCAATGACATGACATTGAAAAGACTGGTGACTTTGCATCTTATTCTGAGGTGTATTAAAGAAATAGAAACGGGCTTACTACAGCGCCTTGGAGGAGCCCGGGAAAATGACATAGGAGCGGCCAGCCCGACCCTGGGAACTGTCACATAAATACTGGGTCCGCCCCCGACATTAGTTCCCTCTAGTTAGTCCTTTCACCATTTTCTTTTCGTTTTGCTACACTCTCCTTTCTCACTATGTCACAAAAATTTGAGCGGATGCGAGGCAGCAGTCCCTCGAACACGATCGATGTCGAATTACCCCCATTGTCAAACACGATTCCAGACCCTAGCTCTGTTCAATTTACAAAGGTCATGGATACCATGCCACCGCATCGCTCACTTGATAAAAGTGATGGGAGTGTCAATGATCAACGTCTCGACGAACAGTTGATTTCAACTGATGCTGTGATGGATTTCCATCCTTGTGAGATAGTCACACTACCATCGTCGGACACTGTGCATCACCCCGGGCTTGAAGGTCACCCAAGATTGAAAAAGAAGTCGGAAACCTATGAAGATATGGTGGCCCGTTGCACGCGGCGTGGATCCCGCCGCAAGCGTGAAGATGTGAGAAAATGGTACAAAGTTCTAAGCTTCACGGATGTACGTGTCGCTCAGGATAATCGATTACAAGCACTTGCTACGTTCACACCTGTCTGGTTATCCCTTGATGATATCTCAGGATTGAGATCGTATGAGGAGATTGAGAGGCTGGCTGTGGCAAAATACGGCAAGGACTTATGGTCGACAGCTTCCCAGGACTGGGATTGTAACGACCTTCACACTCTGGCGAGCCTAGATTATGCTAAATAGGAGGCTTATTCTGAAAGCTCAAGGATCATTATCTTCATGTAGTTCGACTTATGGCTGAAGACAAATTTGGTTTAGGTAAAAATGCATTACGTTGATGGATTGGTCCACTCCGTTGTCTAGGAAGCCGTTTCACGCTCTAATTAAGTACGGTTCTGTACATCTGTGAAGACAGCTCTAAATAGAAGTATATAATAGCTATCATATTTAAATACACACGCCATACTTCAATAAAAAGGACTCGTGGACCTTCCAAGCCACCGTGAATTGCCGCTGCTTTATCTTGGCTTACCGAACACATCAAGATGGCGCGATTTCCTTTCTGTCCTTCTGCGGCCCGGAGAAAGCAGTGTCGTAGCAGGTTGGAAGAACACTATGGCGCTTCTTTATCGCGGTACGAGCAAATGGTGTTAGAAACGGAGAAGCACATCCCAACCTACTACTTTGTGCTCGCGGGCTTCTTCTCTTGGTTGCTACTCGCAGGGTTTCTAGTGTCACCATCCACGTTCGCCTCAGTTCGTGACATGAAAGCTCTGGACGAGACAGGGTACCTCGGTCGGTCGGTAAAAGCTGCCATCCAAAACTTTCCCCTATTTATCATAGCTGCTTTCGGTTGTTTTATTGCTAGTTGCGGAATGACCGCCTTGTGGTATATCTGGCGCCACAACTACGTTTGGGTTTGTCGCTGTTTGGTCATGTACGTTGATGCTATCCTGGGAGTGAAAGATTCTGACCACTTTCTCAGACCGGCCGTGATTCAATCCTTCACGGGGCTCATATCCACATTTCTAAACGTGTACGCTGTGAAAGGGGGGTACTGGTCGGTTGGTGCTTATGTCAGTGTTGGAATTATCGGGGGATCATTTGCTTTTTCGACTGGCCTTTTCGTCCTGTATAGCTGTATTCTAGTTCCAAAGCTGGACGAAAGTTCTCAGCGATAAATGTCATCCTTCTTCTCCCCTTAACGTGCTGTCAAGTGGTGACCAGATTCCCGTGCTAAATATAGATCTCATACCGTCTCTGCAATTTTAGTGTTGGTGAACATGCCAGCTTTATTGCAGCGCTTAGAGACTA